TGGTGGCTGAGTTGGTGGTTGAGTGCCTTTGAAACGAAAAGCTACATGTTAACCTTTTCCAAGTGCAATTTTGGGTTTGAAAATCAAAATAGAAAATAATAATAAAACTGACGTTTTTCATATTAGAATTCTTACATGGAAAAGCATGTTTGAAAAAAGAGTAGTACTATCCTAATCTTTTGCTTAATCGGTCAGTTTGTGTAGGTGCATGCTAAAAGGATGTTAATGGCATTTGCGTCTTTTAACAAGCGATCCTAACTCCCTTACGTCATCATCATGAAGTGAAACGCATAGAAAACTAACCTTCTGATGCGGAATACAACTTTTTTACCGGTCGACTTTCTAAGTACTTTACAGAATTACAAAGATGATGCAAAAGAACTATCACAAAATGCTCTAGATACAACTTGATAATGAAACTAGGGGAAAAAGTTTTGACTAATTTGCATACGTACTTAGAGCATGCGCASACGTTTTTATCTGGTGTCACTTGAACTATTAAAAGATGCTCAAAAACAAAATTAGAGTAAAGCGTTCATTCACTCTATGATCAATGTCTTGCTGTCTTAAACTACTGAATGAGCAAAGTGCAGTGTAGTCATATGGACTTAGTGAAGGCACAGTTTTTACAAGTAAAAGTATTCTTACTTGGTGTTGGTGGAGCTACGAAAATATACAAAAAGAAGCATATTTTTAGTGTGAGCAGAAAAAAAGACTTGTACGGTTATTTTCTAACCTGTGCTGGCACATCGTCCTTTGGTAACAGATATATCGTCAATAGCAATGTCTCCCTGATAAGATGATCCTCTTACACCTAATATTACCACCTGAAAGTAAAACTACAGCCTTAAAGTATGTCCATTATCAATGCCTCGTCATGGCTAGTTTTTGATAATACATGCTTTTGCTATGTCGTAAAGCAAAGGCTGATTAACAACCGAAACTCTGACGTATTCCTTCTGAGGCGTCTTTATGGCAGCCGACATTCATTGTCATTACAATTTCAAAACATTGGATATGTACAATATCTAAATATGGAATTCCTTACATTTCTGTTACTGATCAGGTCTACTTGTTCCTTGATCCATTGGTTTCCATGGTCACCTGTTTTACTTAGCAACTCAAAACCGTCGTTGTGAACTTTAAGCCATCCAATCGAGCTACCATACATGTGATAGTAGAATGTCATACACAAGTCTCCAWCATAATTTCCATTGAAAGTAAGTCTTGCCATGTCTCCTGATACACGAGGACTGGAAGTCTCGATGTATGCATACTTTCCTAAAATAAACATTCAGGTGATTAATAAACGTTTGGTGAAAAATCAAACGCCGTTGACTTTAGCTCAATTAAGTCAATGAAGACTAACCAACGACAACTCAGCTTGTTTAATTTTATCTTCTCGTTAAACCCTAAAATCTTTTAATCCTAAAAAATATTTCCTATGTTTAAACCTAGAGGCCAGTTAGTGTCCATTTGGTTTTTTTCATGCTCGTTATCTGTCTATCTAAATATTAATGTATGTGTATATATTATTACCATTCACTTTTATTTTTTCATTTTCCCTCGTTAATCTATTAATTTTATACTTGCYGACTATATATTAATTTTATACGTCCTGCAATGCCCCATAAGCCTCTGGCTTGAGCCCCGTTATCATTGCACATGTTTTTTAAATGTTGTTGATGAAAAAAATATATACAAAAAAATTGATAGCTCAGCTTGTTGTCAGTACTCACCTGATCCAGTATGGTCAGYGCATGGTCCTGTTGCTGTTGATGGCGTACATCCAGACTGAAGTGTCCAATCAAACTGGTCACTTGTTGATTGTNTACATCTAGATCCCCAGTAAGATCGATATGTGAAACATGCCATGCGTTACCCAAGTCACCAGACTTGCTAAAGACTTTCTTGTTGTCGTTGAACACATTAAGCGTGCCCACGGTTTGCCCGTACATGTGGTAATAGAACGTCATGCACAGGTCATTACTGTTGGAAGCTTTGAAATTAAGTCTGGCAGAATCACCTTGAACGCGCGGAGATGACGTTTCGATGTACGCATAGAAACCTGACATAAAGAAAATGGAGGATGTTCATGGGCATTGTTCTCGCGCATCCTTTCTGCGCATGAATTTAGCGTGCGCACTCTCATCGTGATGACGTCATTCCAGTGTTTTTTTAAGCAAAATTTGTAGCCTAATAATATTTTATATTTGTTATCCAACCCAAATTCTAGTAAATGATTACTAATTATTATGTTCTTTTCTGTGAAAAATGGGGACGATCAAAATATTTTTTTCATTTAAATATGGCTTATTTTTGACAGCTTTCTATGCTTACGTAGTTCGTAGAGTTTGAAAAATCTAAAATCTACAATCTACAATCTACAAAGCCTTTCGCTGTTGTATCACGGCGTGGGACAATCACAACAGAGCTAGGCTCCAAACTAGGTGAAAGCCCAAAGATCGAATTAGAATTTAGTAGTTGATCTTTGAGGAGGGAGGAAAACCGGAGAACCCGGAGAAAAACCCTCGAAGCACAGGARAGACTGACCAACAAACAACTCTACTCACATACGACATCGAGATCGGCAGGACTCGAACTCGGGCCGCATTTGTGAGAAGCGGCGCATTAGCAGCGCACGCCACCGGTGCTTCCCAATGTTGGAAAAATGTTGCMCATATTTTTGAAGTAACACTTTCGTATGATAAAATTGTAAAATCTTTTTCGTATATAAAATCATAGTAATTTCAATCATGAGAAAGAGGAGCCGTAACTGCCRTTTCTTGCTAACGTCCACTAATTCATCAATCTCACCAACACCCCTCTTTTACTCTTTTACATAATTGTCATAATCATATTATCCAATCCCCCGCCCCTTTTTGAAGATGCTCCGCCAGAGGAGGATCCACTTGTATCCAAGAATGCATTGCGAGTGAGACATAACGTCCTACTACTTAACCCGCTAAAATTCGATTGTGCTTACGTAGAGTTTATGTCATACCTATTAGCGATATCTATTTCTAAATTCTTCAAGAGATTTAAAGTTACTCTTCAAAATACTGAAATACTCTTTGAGTAATTTCAGGTTCAGTACAGATCCTACAACTGGCTACTCTTATATGCCAAATTAGTCGAACACTGTCTTTATCAAATGTTAAAGCAACACCTTAGTATTACTATTACCCCTACTATTATTATTTTTTTCCTTTTCTTTCTCTCTTATACTTTGTCTCGGGCATTTTATTTTATTTTTTGTACTTGTCTATCCTATTGTTAAACGAGTGTAAGTATATCATATTTTAACATAAAAATGTTAATGAAATACAAAAATGTCAATAAAATACAAAATAACACCTTAGTATTTGTAATATTAGTGGTAGAAGTATCACTGCCAAAAAAATCAAATAAACCGGTTAAAGCCAAAGAAAACMACAATAAGCGTGCACGGGCACTTGGGATACTAGTTGATCCTCATCTGATACTTCGCGGTCCTTGACAGTGAGCATCCAAGTTTGGACAGGCAGCGGGGATTGCTTGTCTGTTTGTCTGTGACTTCATAACATATAAAAATAAGTTGCTCTACTGATATTTTCTAGTGATGTATATCATATCTACTAACCTGATCCATCGTGATCATTACATTACATTACTTTTATTTTTTTCATTTTTCCTTGTTAATCTACTAATTTTTTTACTTGCTGACTATATATTAATTTTATACGTCCTGCAATGCCCCATAAGCCTCTGGCTTGAGCCTCATTANTAATGTATGTGTATATATTATTACCATTCACTTTTATTTTTTCATTTTCCCTCGTTAATCTATTAATTTTATACTTGCYGACTATATATTAATTTTATACGTCCTGCAATGCCCCATAAGCCTCTGGCTTGAGCCCCGTTATCATTGCACATGTTTTTTAAATGTTGTTGATGAAAAAAATATATACAAAAAAATTGATAGCTCAGCTTGTTGTCAGTACTCACCTGATCCAGTATGGTCAGYGCATGGTCCTGTTGCTGTTGATGGCGTACATCCAGACTGAAGTGTCCAATCAAACTGGTCACTTGTTGATTGTCTCCAGGYCCCCAAAGTGTTGAAATCGTTGTTCATGTCTAAACGAAAAGGTTTGCTCTTTCTTGTGAATACGATAAGTGCATAGCGATTTGAAGAAAAAAAACAAGAAAAGAAATCTGAAAAAAGTCTCTTTGTCAAAGTAAAATGTTAGCTTACCTTGGACTGATGGTGGGGTAGGCGGCTGTGTTGGTGGTTGAGTGCCTTTGAACAACGAAAAGCTACATGTTACGTTTTTCTAATTACAGTTATTTAAACTAGGGATAGAATATGAAGATAACGCTGTTAGAGTGGTGCTGAACCGGCACAGGGTAACACAGTCAAGCAAAATGATGTATTAATATTTTAACCATTTCTTGATTGGAAAGAAACTCTTCTAAAGGCTTTTGGTGCTTACCTCCTAGTGTGTGCATGTCGATCCAGTTTCTAAACTTTGCAACTCTTCCGAATACTGTGTACTTCTGTGAGGAATCACATTGAGGATTACCCCAGCTCACATCTCCCTGCAGTACCCATCGGCCAGCGAAGTTCTTACATACATAAGGTCCACCGCTGTCACCATGACAACCGCTAATCTGAGTATTAGCCTTGCCACCACAAAGCATGACATCAGTGATAGTTATACCAATATTGCCATTCTTTCTCTTGCATTGAGCGTGGCTGATTGAAGGCATGTGTGCTTGTTGGAGGATGTGATGAGAGCTTCCAGGGTGTCTTATCTTACCCCAACCTGTCAACAACACAAATATACAAGAGCATGTTTTGWATGGTAAATAACCGTCTTCTCTTCATCAATAACCAGTAACCTGAATATTTGCAACTAGAAAATGGGCCAAGGATCTCTTGCTGACAGCAGTGATTCAATTTAACTTACCAGTGATGTAGCAGTTGGATCCTGCAGGCAAATCGTAGTCGTGATCAGGCAATCATGCAAGGCCTACACGACTGTTCAGTGTAGCCTGTTTTTCCAGTTGTAGCAAGGCAATATCGTTACTTAGTCGGGGATTGTTGTAGTTCGGATGAGCTATGATTCTAATGACTTTAATGTCTTGTTCTGTTCCTTCTTGTACGCGACGGTTGTGATCACCGAGACGAACAAAGTACGCCGACGGGTTACTAAAAACAAATACAAAACCATTTTTCTTTACTTGTATAGTTTTTAGATTCTTGTAGGATATTTTTAGTTAAATTAGAAAATAGATATTCATACTTGTTTGTTACACAGTGAGCTGCTGTTACTACCCAGTCCCTCTTGATTAAAGTACCACCACAGATGAACCCACCGTTACGATGAAGATCAATCTGAAAAGGGATAAATATGTCATAAATATACAGAAAAAACATTGGTATT